AGACTCTTAACCCTTTTATAATGAATGCCCATCCCCTTGTATACGTCATTTCCCTAAAGGGATAACAACAAATCTCTTAACAATTAAGGTCTATTGGTTCATGCTATTAATTTAATTTTTTACAGAAGTCGCTAATTTTATTAAAAATAAAAAATATCTAAATTACAATGAAGGTTTACAACCAAAATCATAAACTAAACACATAATAAAGACATTTTACTAAACACAAAAAAAACTAGTCACTTAAGATCACACAAGAAAAATGTTAACAAATCTAACCAATAACTTTGAACAAAAGGTAGGTACGAACAAATATGTTTGCATTGGTAAACGAACCAAAAAAGTGATGAAACTATTGAAATACCACCGACAAACTTCAAATCAGAATCGAGCAACGTGAAAAATACTATCTATAAACACAAATCGTGTATCCAAATTCAATCTGATCCAAAGCAGAGAAGTTTAACATAATAACAAATAAACATCATCTTGATCAGTCGTTAAGAAAGAAAAAACAAAAACAACGTCCACACAACCGAAAATGTGACATGAAGACAAAAGAATACGTGCCGTAAAGACATAATTATTAAAAATAAAATAAGAAAAAAAGATACGCTATAATAAAGAAAAGAAAAATCAATGAATACTGATAATCGTCGACCATCACCAAGGTTAGTGTCACTGTCGATCACAAAGATGAAGAAGAAAACAAAATAACAACGGTTAAAGAAAAAGAGGTAAAAATAGGGCAAACCCTAAATTTTTATTATTAATTTAATGTTTTAAATAGTATTATATTTAATACTACTATAAGTATATATCACTTTAAATTTTTTATTAACTGATTAGTATTTGAATATTAATTTTAAAATATATAGTTTAATGGAAAATTAAATAACTAATATTTTAATTTTTATGCGAATATTTTTATTAAAAAATCTAAAAATATTTTAATAACATTATATTAATATTTAAAAATGATATTCATTAATTTTAAAATAGTAAATAATTCTATTTTATTTATTTAATATCAATATAAAATTTAGTATTAAATTTTTATTAATAAAATATTAGTATTTAAATAATTTAAGCATTAAAAAATGATTTCTCTAAAAAATATTTATATTCTTCGGAAAATATTTTGTAAAAAATGAAATGATGTGAAAGAATCTGGACGTTATTTTCTCATTATGTTCCTAATCGGCCCTCCACTTGGGGAAAGGATTTATGCCGTTGGCCCATTGGAATAAAGGCAACTTCATGTATGGTTCTCGTTTAAAGTACGGTTTTTATCATTTCACAATGGGCACCCTTATGTTTTAGGGTAAATTACAAGTTTCTCTACTAAACTTTACTTTCTCTCCTATTTTACTCATTAAACTTTAAAAGTTTTCAATTTTCTCTCATTGGATTTTTTTAGTCACTCTATCGTTAAATAGTTAATGACATTAAAACGTCATCGTTTTGCATCTATATAACAGTCCATTTATAACGCCATTGGTGAGGAAACGACTGATTGACCCAAAAAACTCAATGTATTAAGTCCAGTAAGAAAATTGAAAAGATCTAAAGTACAGTGAGTGAAATAGGAGAGAGAGTAAAGTTTAGTTACCAAATTTGTAATTTGCCCTTTGTTTTAGTTTTTATTTTGATCATATAATTATTGTTCTTTTAAAAAATATATCTAATATTACATTTTAATTCTATCACTTGTCGTTGAATTTGGGGTAAATAACACGTTTAGTACATAAACTTCTAGTTTTGGTCTTTTTTAGTACCTAAACTTTAATTTTTTAAAATCATACCTAATGTTTAGTTTTTTTTCATTTTAGAACCTCATTGTTAAAAACTTAACGACACTTCATTTTTATGGGTAAATTACATCATTCATCACTCAACTATCTTCTCACTTCTATTTTGGCACTAAAGTTTAAAAATTGTCAATTTAACAACTCAACTTTCAAATTGGTCATATTTAATCACTCTAATTTATTTTATTAATAATTTTTGAGACATGAAATTTTATTATTATTATTTTATTAATATATAATTAAAAATAAAAAAATAAATTTGAAAGTAAGAGTGATTAAATTAGGAGTAATTTGAAAGTTAAGTAATTAAATTAAAAAAAACTTTAGTGACCTAAATAAGAGTGAGAAGATAGTTGAGTGATGAGTGATGCAATTTACCCATAAAAAGGTGCCACGTTCAAATCATCCGTTAAGTTTTTAATGGCGAGATACTAAAACGAAACAAAAACAAAACATTAGGTATGATTTTGAAAAAAAATTAAAAGTTTAGGTACTAAAGCGGAACAAAGATGATAATTTAGGTACTAACACATAATTTACCCCAAAATTAATAGTAATATTGATGTGACATTGTTTCAATGTTGACATGTGGCATTAACTTATTATGACACATCAACATTACCATTAATTTAACTTGTGATGGTATAAATGAATAGAACACACTTTTTTTTTGTTCGTTTATTAAAGGAAAAAATATATCTGAGGTCGTTGTACTTTAAAAAATAACATGTCCCTTGAATTATTTTTACATCCAATGTGGCCCTTTGACCAACGTTTTTCGACGTTGATCGTTACGATGCTGATGTGGTAGTTCACACTGTTGACATGGTGATTCATGACGCCGAGGTGACGATTCATGGCACTGACGTAGCAGATGAACTAAATAATTTTTTTATCGTGTTAAGGGCCAAATTATTTTTTAGGGAAAAACATTTAAAATTTTAAATTTAAAGTATAAAAAATATTCAAATATCTAAAAAAATTAAATATAAAATACTAAAAATAAAAATTAAATTAATAAAAAAAATTAAAACAATATATTAAAATAATAAAAATACTATTAAAAATAAAAATAAAAATATTTAATAAACTAAAATGATAACTTATTAAAAATATTCAAAAAAATTATATATTATATATAATATATACATCTATCTATAGATGGAATTCTTTGTCCCCCAAAGTGATATTTTGGTAAACGTGGGGGAATGCTCTAAAAAAGGAATATGAGCCAAAATGACCATTTTGATAAATGTAGGGGGTTATTTTTGACATTATGCCAAAATATTATTTCATTATTACATCATCAACACTTATACAAAGTACTCTGATTAGATTAGTCGAGAATTACAGATTTTGCGTCTAAATATAGGTAGGAAACATCATAAGCCTTTTTTTTGAACAATTTCTACCGGGGGAGGGGAAGAGGAATTTTGCTAATAATGAGTATTGAACTTACAACCTAGGAGTGAAAGGAGGTGTTAACTGAGATCTTTTAATCATATAAAACAATATTTAACCCATAACCTAAGGTATTGAACACACATTTAATCATATTTCAGACAATTTTTAAGTGTCATTTTATATACTAATTATATAACGTGCAAGAGTTTACTAATAGTCCTTAGACATGTTCAAAGTATGATTAAACGTATATATTGATAAAAAAATATTATGTTCCTTAATTATATTTAGATACAAAATTTATAAGTTTTAACTAATTGAATAAGAATATTTTGTATAAGCGTTGATGATATGAATATATGTTATGTGTATATATTATGTATAATATATATGATCTAAATATTTTTATTTTTTAAAATAATTTATTATTTTATAATTGAGGGTATATATTTAATTTTTCTAAAATATTAATAGTATTTTTAATATTAATTTTTTGAATATTTAATTATTTTTAGATTTTAATTTTTAAAATAATTTTCATTTTTTTCAAAAAAATTAAATAAGTCTTAAATTTAAAAAAAAATTAATTTGACCATTAAACACGATAAAAAAATTAATTTAGCCCATCTGTCATGTCATTAATCACTATAGACTATTGTATCAGTATCGTAAAGTATCACATCAATATTGTAAATTTTCACTTAAGTTTTGTAGCAATCAATGATGAAAAACGTTTGTCAAAAGACCACAATAAATATAAAAATAGTTCGAAAGTCATATTGATTTTCTTAAAAAGTACAATGGTCTCATATACCTTTTTTGTATTGAACGCTTATACTCATACATACGTAATACTCAAATTCAAAATTTTAAAGATAAATTCAGAATTTTAAAAAATAACAATAATTTCTTAGTTTTTAAGATTGTTTAATCCGTACAAAGATCTTATAAATTAGGAAACTTTTCGTTTGAATTTCATTAGGCACAAAACAAATTATAACATCATATTAAACATGAGATTCAAAACCCGTCTTCAGGGGTGTTTTGTCTCGAATTTAATTAAATTAACTGATGGAATCGAATTAATTCCGCTAAAATTGTCAGCCACCAAATTAATTTAGTCAGAGAAAGATTGATTTCCTTAATATCCAATTAACGGTTAATTCGATTCAAAATCTGTTAATTAATCGTATTAACTGAAAATATTAAATTTTAATATATTATATATTAAATACATATTTTAAGTTAAATCTCATTAAAAAAATAAGATTCAACTACTTTTTTTAATGATGCTAGACTCATTAAATTGTCAAGGCCTAATTAAATTTCAACCAAAATGAAAAAAAAAATCTCTGTTAAACTCAAATTAATCTAAATAAAAAAAATTATAAAAAATTGATTAATTCTATCAATGACTGAACTTTATTAAGTTTGGTTAATAATTTTTAAAAAAATTCAATTCGATTAATGATTAAAAAAATAATTAATTCAATTATAGGGAATTTGATTGATTCATTGACCGAACTGGTTGTTTGAACACTTATACTCCTATATCCAATAATATATATATAAAATCCAAGGGTCTATTGTTTTAATATAAATGGTGGAAAAGTTTATGGATAGATATAAGACTTTATATTAGAAATATAAAGTTATAAAATTTTGGAATGAAAAAACTTATAAATTTTAAGAAAAAATAAATTATTAATAAAAATATAAAAAATATTTGAATAATATATGGAATAATGGTAAATAGTATGGATAATACTTCACCTTTTATCATCTGATCCACCAATGCTGTTCTTGAATAAATTAATGGCAGTTTTCAAACTTCAATCCCATCCATCTCTGAGAATCTGATTCAATCCTTCAACATACCCTTTGTTTCTCTGCTCTAAATAGTCCAAAGCCTCTGCCACAATCTTCGGATCCTTTCCTTCTTCCCTGCAAACACCGCCTGGTTTTGCCCGTTTCCCATCATCATCACCATTCATCTTCATCTTCCATTTCGAACATAACTCGGAAACAACAAAACACAACTTGTCTGGTCTGAAATTCGATCCCAAATGCTGTGTTGTCTCTTCGCCTTGGCCGAATCCGGCTCTCATCCATATGTACTCCGCCATGCCGTCGATGAGCCAAGGTGGAGCACCACCACTGGACTCGCCATCCCACACCCATATACGAGCCATGGCAAGTTGTATAGCTGATACCACACTGTACTTGAAATTACTCTCCTCCATTATCGATGCACTTAAGCTGATGATGTAAACGGATTCTTTCTCTTTGCTTCTGGCCACACTGACTTTGGTCTTCGACGGGTTATCTTCTCCGGCGGCGGTTAACTGAAGAACGACATGATGAACTGGCTTCTTTGTTTGGTGGGGATGATTGGGGTAAAGAATGTTTTCGACCACGGCGCTTGTGCTCAAGATGATTCGAGTGGCTTCATCGTTGGATACGTAAAAGAGATGGAAGCGTCTCCCCGCCGGGGAGTGTTTGATGGCGGCGCTGTTGATTACGGTTACCTTGAATCCTTTTGATGCTTCGTGTTTTGCCCATACGGAGATTGTTCCGATGAGGATTACCAAGAGAAGACGGCAAATGATACCGGAAGTACTTGGTGAGGAAGCCCTATTTTTAGCATCTTCATTGGCAGCGCCGCTTGTAGCGGTGGCGGTTTTAGTTAAGAGAGGTATGGGAAGGGTGTAGTCCTCCATTAGTGGTGAATGGAAGCTGGGCCATGGTGAGAAAGCAAATATAATGGGGAAATAGAAGACAATGACCGGGAGCCAACTGTTCCACGAGGAAACTCTATCAAGTCTCACGTGGCCTAGACGTGGCATTTGGAATATTTTAGCCCGATACGTTACAAATCTTATTTAGCTTTAGGGTAAAACACGTAAATGGTCCGTGACTATACAATATTGTTTTATTGAGGGTGTTCTTTTGAATCCACTTACTATTAAAAGTTACAAAATGATCACCTGATTATTTATATGTTCCAAACTCATCATTTTTCTTTAAAATATTGGTGGCCGTATGAGATAGACGTTAACTTGTTGACTTGGATATGATAAAATCTAACTCTATAATCGTTTTAGCTATATTTTGTTGATCGAATATCTGTTTACATTATGCCATCGAGCATGTTCTTGAATTGTTATGATGTCGAGTTAGTGCTCAAAATCAACTGTGGTGTCAGTAGTCATCATTAAAATATGATTTTATCATCTCTCATTCAACAGTTTATCATCCAACTCAGACGAGCATCAAATATTTAACAGAAAAGGACAATTTTGGAACATATGAATAGTCGAGGGACCATTTGGTAACTTTTAGTAGTCATGGAACTTAACAAAGCAGTACCCTATAATCGAGGATCATTTTGTAACTTTTAATAGTCAGAAGACTCGTTTTAACTTGAAAAGTGTAATACTAAGTTCAACTTGACTTGAAAACTCACTAGTTTGTCAAGCTCGACATGAACTTGAAATACAAAATTAAAGCTCGACTCGAAAGCTCGTGAGTTTAAAATTTTCAAACTTGACTCCAAATAAAAAGTTGCAGCTCGACTCGAGCTTAAAAAACTTAAACTCAAAATATTCTCAAACTTAGCTCAATTGAAGCTAAAACTCGAGCTCGAACCAAAACCTTAAGTACATAAAAGTCTTATATTATATTTTTTTTAAAATAACAACATATAAATGTTAATATTATAAATAATTGAATTAAAAATCTAAAAATTTAATATACTATTTTTTCGAGTTGCTCGTGAGCTTTTCAAGTCGAGTATCAAGTAGTTCATTTCGGCTCGTTAAGAATTCGAGTCGATTTCGAGCTCGAGTCGAGTTCATTTGATTTGAGAGTTGACCGAGCTTTGATCGAATCGATCTCGAGTGGCTCGCGATCTATCTTGTCTCATTTATAGCCTTCCCTATAATCCGGGACTATTTGTGTACTTTACCCTTAGCTTTATTACTCTATTTAGATAAATATTTATGTTTCATTTCCCTATATATGAGAATATTTGGAATAATTTAAAACATAAGTTAAATGCAAGTGTAATTGAAAGTGACTCCGAATTCTTAAATAATTTGTGAATGCAGAAAAGATAATTATATAGCATGTCAACACACGATAAAGAAAACAACAGATGAAGGCAAATACATGAACCCATTCCTAAAACTAAAGTCAAAGATATTAAGAAAAATTATTCTTTCCTATCAATTTTGATTTGTTATTTATCAATAGTTTTTCTAATAATTAATTCTCTTTTATAGTTTATTTGTTGATACAATCAAATATATTTATATCTACATTTTGTTCAAGTTTATTAAGTCTTTTAACTTTTTCCTTGCACGATTCTCGTATAATCTTCCGTGGTTAATTTTTTTTACTATTGATTATAGAAAATATTATTTATTATGTATTTAGTTTATAATTGTGATGTAAATTTTCATTATAATTTAAGTATTTATCTATTTTTTTCAATAAAACGTGTTGCTTCTATTAAAAAACTTTCTATCGTTCACATTGGTTCACCATAGTTTCCAAAAAAAAAATTAAAACCTAGTGGCAACCGACAAAAGAAATAAAAAATAATGATGGTCTTCATTTGTTTTATTCATATTATCTGCCTAGCAACTGCCGCAGTACGAGGCATGTCACGGCGGTGAAAAGCGGCTGTCCAGGTGGTTTTAATCGGATAGCGGCGGCCGACGATGGAGACGGGTTGTAAGGCACAACACCGAATACATTTGAACCGTTTGAATTGGTGGTGTTTAAGATGGAAGAAGTTGTGCTGCAATGTCAATTAAATGTTAATTTCATGTAAATAAAAGGGCAAACTATACGAATAGTCCTTTTGTTTAGGGTTTGATTGATTTTGGTCACCAGTATAAAAATTAAGGGTAAATGGTCCCTCACATATCGGTCCGTCTGGTTTAAGTCCCTCTGCTATGAATTTCCGTTAATCCCCTTTTTTTTCAAGTCCCTAATATGATTGAGAGACTAAAATTGAATGGGAGTTAACGGCTGAGGGGCTAAAGTTGAATGGATCGATAATATTAGAGATTAAAATCAAACGAATCAATAACATTAGGGACCATTTTCACTTAATTTTTAAATTGGTGATCAAGGTCGGTGATAACTCCGTAAAAAGGTCATATTTGGGACATTTTCACTTAAGTTATTGATTGTCTAAAAGCTCATATAGGATCATATAGATGCATTTAGGAGCATATAGTTGAATGTGGTGAAATTCTATTTGCCGCGACATTTTATTTTGTAATCAGTGCCGCTTTATGGGAAGGTGTTTTATTTGATGATGTGCAGGATTAGGGAGAAATGATAAGCAAAAGGGAATTCCATGACATGATGAGACTACTGAGCAAAATGTGATTGCCGCGATAACTCGGACGGTATTTCTGGGAAGAAAAAGTCAAAGAAAATATTTTTAGTAAGAGCCAGTTGTCATGACATAAAAAGTGATTTATGCAATCAGCCATAATGGAGGGGTCAGTTACCATATTTTCACTGACTCTCACATAAAATGAATGAACTTTAGGGTGCTAGTATAATTTTAACACAAAACCCTAGGTTCATTCTCCCCTATAAATAGAAGATGAAGCCTGACTTTTTGAGGAGACTTGGAGATTTTTAGACAGTCGCCAAGAGCCTAAAAATTCAGAGAAAAAGTTATCTCTTTTTCCGTCAATCGTTTTTACAATGGCATTCCTCCGTTAACAGGCTATAGAGAGTGGCGAACTAGGCGTCCGAGAGGAGCTAGATCACTGGGACTGTTCGTGGTGGCCGAGGGAAGCTCCAATAGTGCACGTCGAAGGCTTTTCCTCCTTCCCTTTGCTCTTTGCTTTCATATTTATCTTTTGGGTTGTAAGGAACGGATTAACTTGCTTTGTGCTTTCTTATTTCGAACCCCACCATGAACTAATCCTATTTGGTGGGAGTTTATTTTGGATATTTAAGTTTTGCTTTAATGAATGGTTATTTTTCTATGTTATATTCTGTTTTGTTTATGAAGCTTAGCGCCTTAAGGTTGTAGGAGCTACGAGAGTAGCCGTTCCTTAGGGGATTACTTAGTATTCGAGAGAATGTCTAGGTAGCACGTCTTTAGTGTTCGAGAGAAACTAGGGAGGAACCATATAAACAAGGGGTTCTAGATAGTAACTAGGCCTAATCCACCTTAGAGATAAGGCTAGGATTTCATTCGACTAAAAGGAGTTGTGTAGGAGCGATAGGTTAGATATTAATGTTGCCGCAAAAAGGTATTGCTGAGACATATCCTGTTATCTGGACCAATAGGATCCCTGCAGTAGCTAACACCGATCAGTTTTGCCAAGGCATCTTCAATCTGTCGAGTCCCTTACTAGAGATAGCATAGGGCACCCTTAGTAAACTCTGTCGGGTAGAGAAGGCATAGAAGTAAGACCATTCTGAGAAGTAGACTTAAATTTCCTAAGTAACTCCTATCACTCATTCCAATAGTAGCTTGTCGTGTGAGGAGTCTAAAGTCCTTATAAGCAAATCCAATATTTACAATTTATTTTGGCTTTACATTTTTATTTGTTTGTACTCAGCACAATTCAATTAGCCATAACATCTCAATCTGCTACCATATTACCATCAGACAATTTCCACAACATCCATTCATTTTGCCACAACATTTTCATTTGCAAATAACATGACTAACTTTACTTAAGTGACATAGTAAAGAGCTTTGATTGAACTTATCAATTTCCTCCAATCTCTGTGGAGACGATACTCACTCATCACTGTATTACTTGTTTGATTGTGTATACTTGCACATATTTCCACACCCATATATAGTACTCACAAATAGCGGACAAGTTTTTGGCGCCGTTGCCGGGGATTGGCAACTAGAATTAATTTGTTTTGTCAAAGTATTTTTATTTTACTTTTTATTTTACTTTTTTTTAGATAGCTTTACTTTTTTATTTTTTATCTATTTCAGGTTTTTCGCGGTGTATGACCAGAAGACATTCGAACGAGCCATTAGAACCGGTTGAACCTGAGATCGAGAGGCTTTTTAGGCAAAGAAGACGTGCTCAACGTGAAAATATGTATCAAATCAGAAATCAATGCATTGGTCATGAGGAAGATAAGGATGCCGAGGCAAATCTAAATACTGAGAATGCAGCCTGACCTCGTGCTATTCGTGATCACTTAAACCTGATCTTAGATGACTTAAATCCTGGAATAGTGGCACCAAAAATTCAGGCAGCCCACTTCGAGCTCAAACCTGTCATGTTCAATATGCTGAATTCCATAGGGCAATTTGGGGGCATGCCAAATAAAGATGCCAGGCAGCATATTCGTAACTTCTTGGAGGTGTGCGATTCCTTTCGCCAACAAGGAGTGAACGAAGATGTTCTAAAATTAAAGATATTTCCATATTCCTTGCATGACCGAGCAAGAGCTTGGTTGAGTGGCGTTCCAGCGGGTTCAATGGAGTCGTGGACTGATCTGTGCAAAAAATATTTGCTGCGGTAAAATCCTCTGAACATGAACACCCAACTAAGGAATGACATTGCTTCTTTTTGTCAAGCTGATGACGAGTCGATGTATGAGTGGTGGGATCGATACAAAGCATTGCTTTGCAAATGTTCAAATCATGGTTTTGAAGATTGAACACAAGTGGTGATGTTCTACAATGGAGTTAATGCACCCACGAGGATGATGCTAGATGCCTCGGCAAATGGGACTTTACTTGACAAATCACCAGCAGAGGCATTTAACATTCTGGATTTGATTGCCGCCAATGATTATCAGTTTCCATCCACAAGGCTTGGACTTGGGTAAAAATCATATGGAGCTTTCGAGCTAGACACTAAGGATTCAGTGTTTGGCAAACTTGCTGCTATCACTAATATGCTGAAGAATTTGTAAAGACCAAGCGAGGTGAGAGAAGTAAAGGCAACCCATTCAACATGTTTATTATGCCATGTCAATCACAATGAGAGTGACTGTTCGACCAATCAAGAATCCATCAATTATGTTGGAAACATCAACCGAGGCAATAACAACCCCTATTCTAACACATATAATCATGGATGGCGTCAACATCCAAACTTTTCGTGGGGAAACCAAGGAACTAGAAATGCTCATCAACCAGCTCGGCAGTAGAATTTCAATGACTCCCAGTGATTTCAATCGAATATGCCATGGCATAATTCCAACAAGGGAGGGTCATCTTCATATAACACCAGTACTTTGGAGGCAACAATGCAAGCGTTCATAGCAACAATGAAGACAATGCTGCAAGACCATGTAACCTCCATAAAAAAACCAAGGGGCTCTGCTTCAGAGCCACAGTTCATCGCTGAGGACATTGGAGAACCAGGTTGGTCAAATTGCCGCAGCATTACAAGAACGACGACCAGGACATCTGTTGAGTGACACTGAAGTCACAAACCTCATGGAAAAGAGCACTGTAGTGTGCTAACTCTACGAAGTGGTACACGAATTAATGTCGAAGACAAGTTTGGGGGAAGATCGAAGGATAATTCACCCAATGAGACTGTACAAGCTGATCAAGAAGTGCTAGAAGAAGGACCAAAGGATGAGTATAAGGATGAGAGTTCATCAAGTAAAGTGACTGAGGGAGGAAACAAAAATTCCAAGGCAAATTCTATTCCCACCCCGTCAGTACAGGAAGCCAGACCCTCACCTCCTTTTCCGTAAAGACTGAAAAAGCATAACAAGGATATTCAATTCAGAAAGTTTGTTGACATTCTGAGTCAACTTCAAATCAATGTTCCTTTTCTGGAGGCTATGGAAAAAATTCCTATATATGCTAAGTTCCTCAAGGAGATTGTGACCAAGAAAAGAAAGGCTGAGCAGTACGAGACAATTGCCACGGCAAAAGAATTTTACTCATCCTTAAACAAGCTACCACCGAAGAGACATGATCCGGGCAATTTTATCATCCCATGTTCGATAGGAGACAAATTTGTTAGGAAAGCACTATGTGACCTTGGCTCAAGTGTGAACTTGATGCCTAAGTCAATTTTTGTAAAGCTAAGATAGGAAATGCGAGACTCACATCCGTCATCTTGCAATTAGCCGATCGTTCACATGTGCATCCTGAAGGGCGAATTGAAGATGTCATTGTGCTGGTTGAGAAGTTCATTTTTCCTGTTGATTTTCTGATTCTGGACTGTGAGGTCGATGCTACAGCACCCATCATCTTGGGGAGACCTTTCCTAGCTACCGTTCATATTCTCATTGACTACGAGAGGGGTGAACTGACCATGAGAGTAGCCGATCAACATGTCACTGTGAATGTCTTCTGATCCCTCAAGTATATGGATGATTATGAAGAATGCCAAAGCATTTTAGAAGTGGATACAATAATCACAAAAGAAGCAGATCAATTTTTCCAGGACAATTTCATTCAGCTGGGACCTGATAAGGGGTTATTCGAAGACTTAAACGCTGGAGAGCCTAATGATTTTTCTATCGAGGAACAATAGGCTAGCTTCCTCAAAGCTAGCCCAGGTACGCGTTTTGAACCTTTGAATTTTGATGAATTTGTTCCTCCCAAGCCCTCATTACAACATGCTCCTATCCTAGAACTTAAGAATTTGCCACATCATCTTAAATATGCTTATCTGGGTAGTAATGAAACTTTTCCTGTGATTATTTCCTCTGCCCTTACTCCTAACCAAGAATCTAGTTTGCTAAGTGTTTTGTCACAGCATAAGAAATCGTTAGGATGGACGATGACAGATCTGAAGGGAATAAGTCCAACTATTTGCATGC